TTATTATTTATTATTTATTATTTATTATTATTATTATTATTATTATTATTATTATTATGATTATGATTATGATTATTATTATTATTATTATTATTATTATTATTGTTGTTGTTGTTGTTGTTACAATATCATTATATTATATTATATTATATCATTCCAGGACCACAATGAACAAATTTCTGCAAATAATTGTGTGGCCCTGAATAAATTTAATATCATATATCATATGATACATACCATATCATATATTTATTAATTATTGTTATTACAAAAGCAGTCTAGCATTAGAACCTAATCCATCTCTGACACCGAAGCATCAACAACGATGAAAATAGAACTGTTGACATGGAAGACTCTCAACCACCCAAGCGACAAATAATATGCGTTTGTACGTTCCTTGATTAAAGTGCTGAAGTTTCATAAAAACGCCACATACGCTATGCTTGCTATAGCATACCTATATGGTCTTTGAAGCAAAATGTACTACTCACCCAAGAGAACAAGAAATAGCACTATAAATCTACATTTATTCGTCATTTTGTACATTAGCTACGGAACAAATGGTTAGTTAATGGACCCGAACCTTTTGTAATGGAATGTGTCCTGACTGTACAAAGGTTTGTTTGTTTACTGATATCTTTCCCGTTAATGATACGCCGGGGAAGTTTGTGATATCTTTGAACAAATTATTATTAACCCCCAAACACTCAGAACAAAATCAATTGCTCATTTTGAAATTTACAATTTTTGACGCCAGTGTAGCACAGATCGAAACAATGCACCATTCCGCTAAGCCCCGTCCCTTGGGTATTGATGGTTCTACAAAACGACTGTAAAAACATACGCAAACACGTTCGTTTGTTTGTGTTTTTAGGACGCGCGCGTATTACTGGCCCTGTTCTGATTGGTCAGTTAAGTTTGATTGACACTCCGGAATAGGCGGGATTAGTGCTTATCAACAATATGACATCCGAAGGCAAATTGTGCTAATTTATGGCATACAAGCTTTTTAGGGGTTTTGGGGGTTGCTGAAATAAAAAATAAAATTAAATAAAATAAAAACCTGCTGTATGCCAAGCTCAAAAATAACCGAAAAGCCTCCAAATCTAAATCCCTGTCCAGACTATCAAATCTTATGCGACAAAAACATGTGAAATGCCCAAATATGGTAATGATGACATCACATCATGACCATATATAGGCACATCTTGATTATATATGGGCATTTAATAGTGTGGACAGAGCATAAGATGACTGCAAAAATTGCCGCGAAATTTTGATACTTGCAGTAACTTCCACCAAATTCCACATAGAACAACAGTTTTTTTTAGTCTATCTTTATTATTTAAAGAGTTAGGGTATACAATGTTACCACCAAAAGTCAAATTCAGCCACTAGCTGAAAAAACAAGATGGCCGCCTTAACTCTCATAATATTTCAAATAATCTGTTCTATGATTTGAGTGGTTAGGGCATACAGTGGCACCACCAAAAGCTATTTCAGCCCATAGAAGATAAGAAACCCAGGATGGCCGCCAAAATGTCTACCAAATTAATATTAACCATAAACCCCATAATATTCCATACATATGATATGATATCATATACTATACCAGGGCCTACTGCACATGATAATATCAAAATTGACGGCAATTTTTTAAAATTTAAAAACAATTCCTATATATTCAACTACTTAACAGTTTTTATATCTAAACTATGGTTTTTGGAGTAGCACTACAAAGAGACAAGTGATGAAATTTTCAGTTGAAAAATCTAGTATGATCGGCAATTTGCCTCCAGCACCTTAAATAAGCACATTTTATTTTTTCCAAATTCTGCCTAGTGTAGAAAGGTCAATTGGCATTTACTATCACTAATTTGTCTGCTGGGCGTTAAGGTTAAAATTGAATACAATAGTAATATTTATGTGTATTTTGTGAAGAAATATTTTCTTGTTCTGAATTTTATTGTTCAGGTTTATTGGCTTTCTGCCTTAACACAGGCAGCATACATTTAACAAGCAGAATGTCACATTAGGTTCTGCAGGTGCTACTGGTACCATGTACGACGGGTTCCCCCGTCGGAAAGAGCTTCCCCACACCCATGGGGAGCAGCTTAACACACTCTGTCAGGGAACAAAATTAAATTAATAAGCCTTTCATTTCATTCCATTTATTTATTCGACCAATGCACATTTACAATAGGCCTTTGTACAATACAAATAATTTTTGTTGTCAGGGGCAGCTTAAACAAACGTTTACTATAACTCAAATAGAATCAGCTGCCCCATTAATAAATATTAACATAAAAAAACCTATTTAAATACCAAATATATTATAAATAGGTCTATCTTAATTTTAAAATTCAAACTTGTTCTTATATACATATAATTAAATATCGCTTATTAGACACTAAAAAAATGAAGAAAATTACCGAAATTAAATATTTTAAAGATCAATTGTTATTGATAAAATATTTATAAGATTAAGTTCAATGAATTTAGGTAATATTGTTTTAAAATTGGTAATAGCAGTGAAAAGGATTAACAAACAACAAGAAGAAAAAAAACTAATAAAAGTGTAAT